GTGGGACTGATAAACAACCCACTCAGAATAGCTGGTTTAGACTTAACAAACTGCTCCTCTGTGAGAAATGAAGCAAGCCCTGTGTTCCTTCATCCCTCTTCCCCATTTTTCTGGCTATTTCCAAGTGGATAAATTATGGAGGACACCCTGATCACTGACCCGGGTCAGAAAACCTCTTGCCTTATACCCTTCCTTCATCTCTTATTTTCCTAAGTATCATTAGAACTGAGCTGCTGCTGCAAGTGCTCTGAGCTTCTAAATGGGCAGTTATAGGGGCCAGGGAGATGGCTCAGTAGAATAAGCGCTTCCCTGGCAAGTGCAAGGGCCTGAGTTCCAATCCCAGGTTCCACCAAAAAAAAAGGGGGGGGCAGTTATATACATAGGAGGACAAATTTTGTTTTTTCTTTTCTTTTCTTTTCTTTTTTTTTGGTTTGGTGATATTAGGAATTGAATACAGATATGCTCTCTCACTAAATCAAATTCCTGTCCCCTTTTGAGACAAAGTTTTACTAAATTGGCCATGAACTTACAATCCACTTGTCTTTTATTTTATTTTTTTTGGCGGAACCAGGGATTGAACTCAGGCCCTTGCACTTGCCAGAGAAGCACTTATTCCACTGAGCCATCTCCCTGGCCCCAATCCACTTGTCTTATAGCCTCTGAGTAGCCAGGATTATAGGCATAACCTACCATTCCTGTCCTTCTTGTTTTTTGGCTTCAAAGAACTTTACTTTCTTCCTGATTTGTTTATAAATTGGGCATAGAATGTAGTAGTTTTTGCTTGGATTCCCTTTTTTTTTTGTGGTGCAGAGGATTGAACCCAGAACCTTGTGCATCACAGGAAAGTGCTCAACCACTGAGCTACACCCACTGCTCCATGCTCCATGTTCTTTGTCACTGTATAATACATACAGTGATTGTCATGGCTTGTATCAGTCTAGATGTTCTCCCCAAACTTCTTCATGTACTCACAAGGGATTGAAGGCTCCCTACTGTGGGTGCAGATGGCAGGTAGCCTGGAGGGAATATAAAGGAATAGAAAGAAGGCTGGATGCTGCTGCTCCTGCTGTTATTTCCCTGCTGCTGTTTTCTGCTTTGCTGTCTTTGCCTGCTTGTCATGGACTACTTCTTCTCTGTGATGCCCTCTGCCAGGCCACCCTGCCTTGGAGCCAGCCAACTACAAGCTGAAACCTCTATAAACTGTGAGCTAAATACACCTTTCCCCCTTTAACTTTGGATGTTGGGTTATTTTGTCTCAAGGAAAAAAAGTAACTAAGACAGTGTTCATGACAAAAAACTATTTCTTTAAAATTTTATTTATTTATTTATTTGTGTGTGTGTGTGTGTGTGTGGCCAGCTCAGCCCACCAGGGGGCGGGGCTGGCTGGCATGTGGTGCATGGGGGATTGAACCACGGTCCCTGTGTGTTGAGCTTGTTCTAAGTAGGTGCCTTAGACCACTGAGCCATCTCACCAGCCCAAAAAACTATTTCTAAAAAACAAAAGAACCAAAACTATTTCTGACAATGTGCACGATATTGGGTAAGAGAACTGGAAGATCAGTGGGTCCTAGATCTTTGCTCCCTAGGGGTGATGGAAATCAAACTCTTACCCATATCACCTCCCTGCTTAGGTTTTCATTAATGATCTTGGCTGATCTGTATTCAGATGCCTTAAGCAAATAACAAAACAAAATTAACAAACAAAGCTATACTTATTATGGGTAATTTAACCTTAGAAAAATAGAGAGGTATGGCAGATACAGAAAGAAGGCTTTGGCTTCAGATAAAAAAGCAGAATGGACACAAATTTAAGTGAGAAGTACAAACCTGACAATGTCTGAGTTGCTAGTGGATACCAGATGAGGGAATGATTGGGGATGGAGGTTGAAGGGAGAAGTGAAAGAGGGGTAGGAGCTGGAGTGAGGTTAGAAGTCTGCTGCAAGGAAATCCTTGGTCAGGTCAGCTGAATATAATTGTTCCTATCAATTCAAGGCCAAAAAAAAGATGGCATTATAAACTGGCTTCTGAGCAGTTTGGTTCTCAAATTTCCAGAATCCTTGGCACATGGAAGTGATCCTTGGCGATATGAAGAAACAAATTAACCCCTCCCTGTCTGGAAGACGTTTTATGCAGCAGGGTTTTCCCTTGGCATTGACACCCTACTAAAGGATGTGGACCACAGTCTTCTTCCATCTGCTTTTTTTTTTTTTTTTTTTTTTGGTGGAACCAGGGATTGAACTCAGGCCTTTGCTACTGAGCCATCTCCCCAGCCCTTCCATCTGCTTTTTGATCACTGGTTTGTACCTGTTTCATCAATGTTGTTATGGCCTAAGTGGCCTACGTTACATGCCTGCCTTTGGTGTTTGGGGAATTAATAGAGAAGTACGATCTCCCCTTGTTCATCAGTGGTCTGGAACATCTATTGCACCTGTTTGGGCACCCTCCCTATGATTATAGGAAAAGCACAGATGACTCTAAACAGCAGGCTCCCTCCCTGAGGCCAAGCTGTTCCACACCTGGATACTGAGGGGGTCTCAATTGTCAGCTATGTCATTGCACCTCCATGGGCTGCTAAAATCCATACATACCTTGAGAGTACTCTTATTTCCTACCTCTTCAGCACTTAGATTTTTTTTTTAACCTCTTATCATCTATCTGCTCTTATTATTATAGGTTTTATCTCTAGAGAAAGCCCCAGTGCTCCTGAAGCTCTTTGAGGCAGACTGTGTCAGTCTTGGTCACTACTATTCTCCAATGAAGGAATACAGTAGTCACTCAATAAATATTTATTGACTGAATGAGATAATAGTAACCTTCCCCTAGTACAAGGGAAGGTTTACTATAGGCTGTGAGTAGTTACTATAATGGAACATTTACAATAGGCTGTGAGTAGTTACTATAATGGAAAGGGCTTCTAAGTGTTTGTGAATGCCTATTCCTGTGATCTTGACTGACATCTCAAGGTCAAGGATAAAACCAATATTTTCTGAGTCAGAAAAATCTCTTTATGACCCTATCCTAGGGATACAAGTAAGCTTCAGATGCTGAAGGGAGAGGCAGAGGTTGACATCTCCATATAATAAACATAGAAAACACATAGGGAATTTAAATTAGAGGTTATAAACTGGTGGCTGTTGGTCCAAACTTTGCATGCAGAGATGATTTTACCCACATAGGGCTTAAAATTTTTTTGTGGGGAGAGATATACTAGGGATTGAACCCAGGGTCTTTGGTACTGAGCTACATCTCCAAACATTTTATTTTATTTTATTTTGAGATAGAGTCTTTGTAAATTGCTAAATTGCTCAGGCTGGGCTTGAACTTGTGATCATCCTGCATCATTGTCTCAGAGTGCTGGGATTACTGGCAGGCACTAGCATGGCTGGCTTTTTGTTGTTGTTTTGAGATAGTGGTCTTGCTATTATATATTCCAGCCTAGGCTTGAATTTACTATGTAGCCCACACTGGCTTTGAACTTACAATCCTTCTGCTTCAGTCTCCCACATGGCACGATTACAGGTGTGCATCACCATGTCTGGCTCAAAAATTCAGCCGCACATTTATTTATTTTTATATTTTAGGGAACAGTGTGTTCAGAGTCTCACTACTAGATCGGACTCATAGTGATCCACCTGTTTATAGCCTCCCAAGAGCTGGGATTTCAGGCATGCCCCACCACGCCCAATCTCAACTGCCATCTTGGGCTGGCACAGCAGGCCCAGGGATCAAAACCCCTGCCCCTGAGCCTGTTTGCAGGTGCTTTAATCTGCTGAGCTATTTGGCCAGCCCTTAGCTGCACATTTAAACATTGGAGAAATTTATGATGGGGACAATTTAACGGTACAGCACTAACCTGGCTTGCTTACCAAGTCAGGTCTTGGGCTTAAGTCAGATGCTGGCACTCAGAAAAGAAATTAGAGAATCTCCTATACAAATCTAGCTCTCAATAATTTTTTTTGAAAAATTGAAATATATGGTAACAGGGCTGGTGAGATGGCTCAGTGGTCTAAAGCACCTACTTAGAACAAGCTTAGCAAACCACAGGGACCGCCGTTCAATCCCCCAGCACCACATGCCAGCCAGCCCCGCCCCCTGGTGGGCTGAGCTGGCCACACACACACACACACACACACACACAAACAAAAAAAAAAAAAAGAAATATATGGTAACAACAATCTAAGTGTTGGCTAGGAGTGGCACGTATTCTTTAGCTGACAATATCCCTTCCTAGCTCGCATTTAAATTTCATGCCTGGTAACCACAAAAACAAACAAATAAACAAAATTCCTGCTGGGGATTGGGGATTTAACTCAGTGATACAGTACTTGCCTAGCAAGTATGAAGGTCTGGGCTTCTTAGCAACATTAAAAATATCAAACGGGGGGTGGGATGGCTGCCCCTTAGCTCAGTTTTTCAAGTGGCTGCTCCCACAGAGCAGTCAGGCTCAGGTTGCTGTGGTTGGATTCCCACAAGTCAAGCCAGCCAAACCTGCCCTGAAGGCATTCAGAGAAAAAAAAAATCCTAAAAATATCAAACAAAAAATGTCTGCCCAGCTTTGTTTTTTTTTGTTTTTTTTTTCTTTCTAGTAATTCAGTAATTTGGGGGCAGGGAAATGGCTCAGTAGAATAAGCGCTTGCCTGGCAAGAGCAAAGGCCTGAGTTCAATCCCCGGTTCCACCAAAAAAACCCAAAACAAAACAAAAAAACAAAAACAATTCAGTAATTTATTTCTCTAAAAAACTGTGTAAAAGTATATAGCTCTCATCCCTGCCTAGCTTTTGTAGGTGTCTGAGTTTGCAGACTCTCCTTTAGAAGATCTAAGGAGGGGCTGGGGAAATGGCTCAGTGGAATAAGTGCTTTCCAAGTGCAAGCACCTGAGTTCAATCCCCAGTTCTGCCAAAAAAATAGAAGACCTAAGGAGGAGAAGCAGAGCTGGCTAGACCCCAGAACCCCAGTGATCAAGCCCTGATCCAGCCCTGGATGTAAGCTGTACCCTCTCACCTGATAAGTCAGTGACAGCAGGGTCTGCTAGTCGTCCATAGTGTGCCATGAGTTTGAGCTTGGTCTCTTGCTTCCTGTGTTTCTTGCCCACATAATGTTGTTGAGCCATTACTGGGTCATTGAAAGTTGCATGGCAGAGGCTGCAGAACTTGTCTGGGTCTATCATCTCTCTATTCTGGTGCAAGGCTAAGGTGGAGGACACAAGGAAAAGATTAGTAAGGCATTTTGACAGAGCTGCACTGGGAGAGTTCAAACAGAAACAATGAAACAAACAAATAAAGAAAAAACAAAACACAGAAAGTGCCAAGCTTTCAAATATACTGAAGAAAAAGAAAGGCAGCGTCACTAATCACACCTGCAGATAAGGCACTATCTGTGTTAGTCACATAGTGAACACCTTCTCTAATTGGGAAAACGAAGATCTGGGGGAGCCCAAAGAGCAGTTAACTCACTCAGCAGCTTTAACTACTCTAGGCATGCAAGTCCTGATATATCCATACTTTTTTTTTTGCAGAAATGGGATTGAACTCAGGACCTTGCGCTTGCCAGGCAAGCACTTATTCAGAGCCATCTCCCCAGCCCTGGGGATATAGCTCAGTAGAATAAGCACCTGCCTGGCAGGCGCAGGGTCCTGAGTTCAATCCCTGGTACTGGAAAAAAATAAAAATAAAAAAATAAATAAATCCTATCCATACTCTTTAAGAGGCTCTGAATTTCTGCCATGAAGTTGCCAAACCATAACCGACTAGAGTTGCATACTTATAATCTTTTCATCTCAAAATTTCCTGGAATTTCACAGCAAGTAGGATAAGAATCTGGGTATTTAATTTCCATCCTCACAGCATCCCAGTTATAAATGTAGGTAGGAACAATGCACTCATGTAGACACTGGGGTTCTGAGCTTATATAGGGCCAGGCAACCATAGTAACAATGTCTTCTAGGCTTCATTACACTCTATGCTAAGGGAAGGAGAGAGGAGGATAACATTTAGTTACACATTTTGTAAATACATTTTTTTTCTTTACTATTCAGTACTCCAATAAGTGATGTATCATTTGTCACATTAGAGATAAAAACTAAAGCTCATACAGGTAAAATGACTTGTCCAAGAGCATCTTGCTTGTAAGAGAACCCGGGTCTGTGGGGAGCTAAAGCCCATGATCTCTTTGCTTTGGCAAGTCAACAGGATATGGCCAGAAGACATGAAGGCCAGTTTCCATCTTCAGGAAACATCCCTGACTCTGTTCAGGGTGTAAGCCAGTTAATCAGAGCTTGGTGAGGGCATATATGTGAGCCTCGTGATGCTGCCTGTACGCAGTACACCTTAAAAGTGGATGCCATGACTCAGTGATAAATCCACATGGCTAGAATGGTGTTAACTTAGGAGCCACTGCTAGAAAAATGGGCCCAGAATCCCCACCAGTAATAGAGGAGGTATAGGGTTTAGCAGCACTCACAGATAGATGATGACTCAGATGGCCTTTCATCCCTACTCTACTTCAACTGGACATTTTGAGGATTTTTAGAAAGCCAGAAGAAAAGTTTAGGGGGGTGGGGAAGATGGCTCAGTAGAATAAGTGCTTGCCTGGTAAACGCAAGGGTCTGAGCTCAATCCCCATTTTTGCCACAATACTGTTCCAATATAGGAAATCTCAATTTCTCTGGCTAATTTTTCTTCAATATGTTACTGAAAAAGTTAAGTCAACATAGACTATTTTATGAGAAGATACTCAAGTTTGTGGTGCTATTAAAAAAAAAAAGCAAGTTGGGGAACTACCCGCTTGGGCCCCCCTCCTGTCCCTCTCTTGGACAGGAGCTTTCTTTCTCTCAATAAATATATTCTGCTCATAAAAAAAAAAAAAAGACTTATAAACCAATTTAAGAGCTTCTACATGTCACTGAGCCACTGTGAGAGAAAGTATTATCCGTGCAAGATTATTGGTCGATCCTTTATGTTAGCCTAAATTAAAAATTATTTCCTGTGTAATAATAATTATAGTTTCTGCACCAAGATGGAAGCATATTTGATAAGAAAAGATTATTGTAAAAACAAAACTATTTTTAAGAGTGGCAAGGAACCAGTGCATCTAAGTCATTTTTACTGGAATAATTAGCAAATTATTTATTTGAGAAACATAGCTGATTGGGATTATTTAACATGTAAAATATTAGAAAAA